TTCACGGAAGAATATCTTGAGAGACAAAACATTTTATTCGAGCAGTTGGTGGTTGGCGGGTGCTCTGGTGTGATTTGCTTCTTCTTTCCTATCAAACGTCTATCGTCCTTATCTCCCCTCCTTCTTTTTTATGCTTATTACTCTCTTGTAACACCTCTTATCTTCTGGCGCTCATATGACCTTATGCAGTTGCGAGCGCCCTAAAACCTCTACTAAAACAAAGAAACTTACTCGAGCAGATTTTAGTAGAACCCGATTACCCTACTTAACCACTTTCCGAACCTAATCGATCATACAAACCCGACTTTTCGAAAAAGACTGTGCACCCCACCTGAAAATGCAACGAAGAGAGGAAACTGCTAAACTGTTAGTACAATGTAATGTACGGGACCCTTAACACCGTCCAGCCTTGTGAGGAGTCACGCGGAAATGTTTTCCTGTCTTGCGTCTTGCGTCATTCGTCTGACGACACGCGGACGCACGGACCGGAAAAACGACGAACGTGTGAATGTAATCGGAGATGAATTGGTTGACGTAGGAGGAGGGGGAAGAAGGATGATCATTAATATTGTTGTGAACTGACGATCGCCCCTAGAGCGCAATAAAGAGGTCACCTGACCTAACGTCTGCGCTGAGTACTGTGTGTATTGATCGGGCTCAGCTAACCGAAAACAATCACTGCTGGCTGGCTGGCTGGGGTGGGATGTGATTAGTAAGCCGTTTGTACGTGCGGGTCCTCACGAAATGGTGGGATCTTTTTTTAACAAATATTTTATTGGCATCTGTTCATTCACTGCCCTCTTTTGTCTAACCGCCGTTAACTTCTCTTCACTGTCACCTTTTATTATTCATATCCTTATCTATTATTATTATTATCCACCCCACGCTTCCCTCTATATTATTGTTTTTTGTCCTTATCTTTCTGTCTTTCTCTACTTTTCAATCCCTCTCGAATTGTTTTTCGTCGTCAGTTGGTGAGTGCTTTGGTGTTGTCAGCTTTTCCTACTTCTTATCATCGGAATTGCTATCTACCATCTGTTACTGACAGATTGTGTGCGTCAGTCGCATAATACTGTTGACTCGATACCGAAAAATCAGTTCAACTTTACCGTCCCACTCATCCCTTTGCATTTTACCTGTCTATGTTTTGATTTGGGTTTTTAAAATTATTTTTTATTCGTTTG